ACTGATCAAGGAGATAGAGGTAGAGCTCCAGCTCGGCGTATCTCGCCTTCTGCGTGTTGCCCATCATGGCAAAGCCGAATCTCTTGCTCGGGACAAAGCCCACCATGATGCCGAACCCTTCCCAGCTCCCCGAGTGCCAGAATATCTGCTCGCCATGGTAGTTATCCACGAACCACCCGAGCGCATAGAGGTGAACTTGTCCCGGCGGGATGATCAAGTCCTCCCAGTCTTGGATGATGGTCCGCGGAGACAAAAGCTCCTTATACCCCTGTAGTGAAATCGGCGCTCCTCGATATATCATCGTGCGTATCCATTTCGCATAGTCGAGCACATTACTGACGATCGCGCCCGTGCCGGTCGTCGGCGCGTAATCCATGTAAGGGCGCTCGACGTGGCGATTCGCGGTAGGATCCCAGGTGTAGCCCTTCACCAGACGCCGTGCGGTCGACGGACACGCGAGAACCTCTTTGTTCGAAAAATACGTATCGGTCATCCCAAGAGGCTTCCAGATCCGCTCTTTCATCAAGCTCCCCAGCCCTGTCCCGGACAATTGCTCGAGCACATGCGAGGCAACCATGAACATATGGTTGCAGTAGTTGAACGTTGTCCGGGGAGCAAACGCAAGGGGCAGGTGGCGGAGCTTCCGCACCTCTTCGCGCAGGGTCTCGTTTGGAAATGCGAGGGACATGGGGCCGAAATGCCCCGGTAGTCCGGAGCGGTGGGAGAGCATGTCTTCAACAGTGGTGTTGGCGGTGGCGTACGGGTCTGCCAAGACAAAATCATCCCTGATCAGCGACGAGACGGGAGTGTCCCAACGGATCGGAGTTCGCGTGGCTTTGCTGTGGTCAATGGCCATCGACATGAGGGCCGCAGTGAAGGCTTTCGTGGTGCTGCACGTATCGAAGAGAGACGCGACGGTCATCTTCTTATCGGGAAACTCCGCAATCCCGTATGCCTGCACTCCAGGGTTAGCTCATACTATGTGATGATGGCATTGGAAGCTGGCAGTTACTTTGGCATAAGTGCTGGAGCCATGGACCACTGATACTGTCAGTCCAGGCACCTTCCATTTGGCTAGTTTCTCCTCGACCAGGGCGTCGAACTCCGGAGTCAAGGGAGAATTGTTGGGCCGTAAAACCATTGTGGCAAACAGTACGGGCGCCGACGGGAACTTCGCTAGTTGTCAAATGAATAGAGCCGGTGATAGCACCTCACTACGATCAATGGCTTGGGACGATGGTGTTAGAATGGTGGATAGAGAGGGCGAGCGGGGAAATGTGGTGGTCATGCAAGCGGCTTATTTATCTCCTAGCTGCAGCCTACAGCCGCCCGGTGGGATACCGCTTTGGGTAAGTGCACCTCGAGGTGCGTCCTAGTGAGAATATTACAGATACCTCCAGGCTACGGCATGATGCTGACACACAAGTCTCTACTACTGAATGAAATCAGGTGAGTCGGATCAAGTCATAATATGGGCAACATTTCACCAATCAATCGTGTCAGACTAGGCAGCCACGGGGCGTGCATCTGCCTACTTTCATCAAGGGTTACTCAATATAACTTAGAGAGTGTGAAGATGAAGGAAACCTGGACCTAATTAAATGGTTTTTATTCTCGAAACCTATTTGCGCAACGCTTGCTCAATCCAATCGGTGTCCATGTCGATATCAATTTGATGAAGGACCTCCTCCCAAAGGCCGGGATCATCATTTACATCGAAGTCAAAGGATATGTCCTGCACCGAAGAGATATCCTGGTTCTGAAGTCTCGGACCTGTCCGTGCAGCCTGTTCAACGATGCTAGAGGACGGTGTATGCTTCTGTGTGCTAGCGGGGGTGGCCGGTATATCCATAGCATTGTTGTCCACATCCCTTGAGCGATTGGGTCCAATGGCGGACTGTAGTTCAAGAAGCAATGAGTGACGAGCCTCGAGGATGATGTTTCCTCGATCCGCCATCCCACGGAGGAGATTCAGCGCGGTCGCCATGGATCGCGCATTGGAATCGTTGTGCGGGAATGTCGCATTGACCATGACCAGCAAAAGAGCGGCTGAAAAGATATACTCTCCATCCAGATATCCGTAGGTCGCTACACGAGTGTTAGAGTGCCAACCACATCAAAACTGAGCGACTCGAATGTACATACCAACCAGGTTCTGCTTAGACGCAGCATCCATGATCATAATGGTAGCACGAGCAGCTGAAATACAGCTCTCTATCACCTGCACGGCATTCTGGGAAAGTCCTTTCTTCCAGTCATCCGTTACTGACCCCGCTGTCTCTGCATCCAGACGTCGCTGGATTACATAAAAGACCAATGGTCTTGCTGTCATGTTGACACATGAGTAGAAATGTAGAAACAATGACACTGATTCGCGATTGATGTGCGTTCCGAGGGTTGAAAAATCAATACGCAAGCGGTCAGGTACCCGCCGTAGCCAGTCGAATAGTTCGTCCATGATGCTTTGTACTGAGAGGAGTAGGTTTGATCCAGAGCGAGGTTTCTTCCGATATATTTCTTCAAGCTATGAGTTAGCGATCGCCTCTTGTAGGTTAAAGAGGCCACTTCTACCTTCTCCAATGCGACCAAGTATTCTTGATAATTGAGTGTAGTGAATTAGAACAACAGAAGGCCAGGGGACAATGTCTCCGGGGTTCTATGTGCAGTCAGTTCGTGCTCACATATACCTTGAAAAATCAAGTACTCACAACCGGTCGCGGCCAAGTTGTCCCTATGTCTTCATCTTGGATAGTTATAGGATTTCCGGACTTCACGGATAGGAGCCTAGCTTCTGTCAGATAACGTCATTTCCCCTGAGCTGGGGCAGGATTACCTATCCAAACTGTACACAGACCACCAGGATCGACGTCGACGATTCCGGTCTTCTTCGCTCATTGCCGGATCCGACGCCTCTTGATGAAGTCCCAATGAGATGGCCATCCGCAGAGCGGTGCCGATCTATTCATCACACTTGTAAGCATCTGTCATCATGTGGGTGACGAAAGCCACATACATAGAGGAATGCAGCATCCCGCCGATTCAAGTTCTGCATATAATATGCTACGTAGCATAGTACTTCGACAAAAAAAATGGAGCCCTCTTCGTGAATGTCTGGTAGAAAGCGAAGTGCATGCTTGAAGTATTTGAAGCCGGGAGGACCATCATCTCCCGACCACTGATTCACCGAGTACATTAGCCCGTACGAGATGATAAGCAGGACCTGGCAATAGACCAGACATGACTCCCGGTTAAACAGATCTGGAGGTTGGTGATAGACTATGTAAAGTCGCTCTTCGTAGTCATGTGGCTGTATAAGGGAAAAGATTGTTCCGATGTAACTGTACTGCACCCAATAAAGACGCTTGGCGTATTCGAACGGCGGCAATTGAGGTAAAGCCGGCGATATGGAGCGACGTAGGGAGGTTGGATCGTCATAAAGTGGGCGCACATCCAACGCTAAATTCTTTGAGGTTGGGTTGAGACGCTTGGCCAAATGAGTGGCGGATGATGCTCCAATAAATTCTTGATCGGATCATGAATCCTTCAGTGTCTTTCCTGCGAAAGTAAGAGGGGTACGTACGATGTTCGCCTGACCGATTAAGGAAGAGGTTATCGGCTCCATTATACCACCAGTCGTCTCGTTCGAGCGATGTCTCCCCTGGGGTTAGGGAAGTGCTCTGGGAAGTTGATGTGGAGCTGGGAGCAGGTGGTGGAGGGCGATTTCCATCTGGATAAGGTGAGCTGGGAATTACGATAGCCTGTATAGGACGAAACAGACCCTGACGAGCGGCTTGTGCATCGGATAGCAAGCGACGGAAGTGACTACTCAATTAGATAATGGATGTGTAGGTGTCGTCGTCAACTCACCTCTCGGTTATAGACACACGTTTCTCGGCTTCGGAATACACACAATCATAACCTACGTCTTCACACGCAGCACATGGATATGGGGGATTGCCAGCGCAGCGGGTCTTCCTGGAGCGACATCGATTGCATCTGCACGAAGACGTTAGTCCCACCCACGTGGCAGAAGGTAAGATGGGTCCGTTCATACGCTACCATCGACCGCCTTGCGTTTGCACGCTCTTCGGCAGACCGGTGCTGCAACCCACGGTGGACCTTCCCAGGAGCCATTTTCAAGCACACTTTGCTAGTGACAAGGCAGGATATGCATCATGAAATTATGAATGGTCTGGAGATGTTGTAATGAGGCTCGGATTGTGGCGGTTGGGTCCAGTTCAATACAATTGCGGAGGGGGGCGGCAACTGATAAGGGAGATGGCGCACGTTGGACTTTTGAGTCACCGTTACGTTGATAAGCGTCCAGAGCAAAGTAGATAACGCACAAGAACTCTGAACACGAGGACTGGGATCTGAGGCCGACTCCACTTGGTGCGAACTACTCTCGTGGTGTTCCACACAAAACAGGACGAGAACCACGAGGCAAGGCTAGAAGGTTGGCATCCAAACAGTGCGGGGAAATCCGAGGAAACAGCCAAGGCGGTGACCAGAATGGTAGTAGTCACTCACCACTAGGCATGTGATCGTCAGCTCCAGGCTTACAATACAGCCACCCGGAAGCCACGCGATCGACTTCCACATTTATCAGTCGATTTTGAACTTAAGGTCTCATCGGCCCGTTGAGGGTTCCCTTGTTGCAGATCCGTCAGCTTGTGTCTGTACCTCTCAAAATCACCCCCTCCAGAATAAAACTTCTCGGCCCGATCGCCCCATGTCCATGCGCCCGGGGGAATCGTGTTTCCCATCACGTAATCTCGAGTCGACTGGCCTTGGGACTCCTCATCTGCTCCAATCAAGGTTCTCAGCTGAATGTCAGGCTGAATCCACCCGAGGCCGCCCGTGCTTGGGGACCTTTCAGACGTGTCGCACGCTGATGTAGCGACAATGACGTTGAGGGGATGTTTTCTCCGTTTTATTTTCTGGACCCGGTTTCGGGATAACGCGGCTGGGGACAAATTATACCCCCCAGATCGTCACACGGCCGGATACCTTATATGAGAGCACCACTCCTTTCGACCTCGATTTCAATGCGGAGATGCTTGGAGGAGTAAGATGTGCGATCCTGAGCGACTGCAACAATGATACAGGCCGTGATTGCAGTTCTCTTAGCATTGCTGGCTTCGGCCTACACTTTCCGCCAATTCGCGCACTTGGACTGGGTTCTCGGCCCCTTAATATCGCGCATCTCGTGGTGGTGGCACATCTACCTGCGTAACTCGCCTCATGACGGTCGCAGGCTCTCAGAGCTTCATGCGAGATATGGAAGAATCGTGCGTCTAGGAACAAATCGGATCAGTGTCTCGGATCCGGCAATCATTGCTCAGCTATATCAGTTTCAAATCAATCGTATCAGGGTACGTCACCATGCTCTGATACCAAAGCAGAAGCCTTTCTGACAAAAGCAATTTCCCAATCTGCAGGGATCCCAGTCTCAGAATGTTGATGTTTGGGCACATGGTGAACGCGATGACCAAACTCCAACCAGCCAGTGGGCGAGATTCCTGGAATACGAGGGTATCAACGATAGCTCAACAAAAGAGCTCCTCGACGCACTCAAAAGATATCAAAGTATCGAGCTGGTAGCCTCTCTCAAGATATTTGCCGCGACGCTCATTGATAAACGTATCTGCGACCCAGCGTCAAACGCAGCTCAGATACAGACCCAAGCAATAAACGCCCGCTCGCTTCCCGACAAACCATCGATAGTAGAATACATACTTTTCCAGAGCCCTGTATCGTCACTGAAAAGGTACCGAGGTCGGCAGCTTACACAGTGTTCAATGATGCCCATCCATGCCCTCACGACACCTGCTGGCCTCCACAAACCAAACCTAGACAGCACCAACATCCTTAACGACAACACCCTGGCGAGCGACGAGCTTACAACCGAAACTGAATCCCTCATCACAGCCTTTGCCTCCGTCTTCTCACATCTGCTCCAATACCCCGAAAGGCTGACTACCCTGCAATACGAGATCGATTCAGCCTACAATACTGGATCACTCTCCTCCACTCCACGCTGGAGGGAACTATCACGCCTTCCCTACCTCTGCGCCGTGATGAAAGAGTCGATGCGCCTAACCTGCACGGCGGACAGTGAGAAGGAGTTCCCAGCCTCAGCGGTCTCGGGCAATCTGCGATCGGAATTCATCTTCCCAAGTGGTACGATCATCACCTGCAACGCCTACGTCGCGCAATTCAATGACACAATCTACGGAGACGACGCACACGCCTTCCGCCCGGAGCGATGGCTCATTGCCAGCGTGCCGCAGCGGAAGCTCATGGATCGAGCCATCCTACTCTTTCATCCGGGTCTACACACCAATCCAAAGCTCCGCGCCGCCTGGCTGGAACTGAAGAAGGTGGTTGTGCAGATTTTGCTCAACTTCAACGTGAGTTTCTCGTCGTCCAATTCCAAATTGATGCTTTGAGCTCATCTGTCTCCAAAATGAATTAGATCCAACCCTTCCTAGTCGATCATCATGCAAGACAAACGTCGAACCTCTCGGCGGTTTCTACAATAGTCACTACGACTCCCAGGATGCCGGAGGTCTGACAGCACATAAACCCGACCACACAAGCTCTTCAGCCATGGCTTTCATTCGATCAACTAGCAAATCTTTCATAAGCACCTCGCTTCCACAGTGCCTCACCACGGCTATTACTTCTCCTTCGATGTTCATTCCCAACAAGATACCCCCTTTGTCAAATCTCAATGATGTTATCATGATACAATTGATCGCTTAGCCTATCTAATTTACCATAGCTTTTCATCTGGGTTAAGCCTCGCCCCACACGGTCACAAAAAGTGGGCCCGATCCCACCCGAGCCTCGGCTCAGCCAACCATGCTCTATCCGAGGCCGTTTTGTAGGGATTCCCAGTTCCAATCCTTGGGGAGGGATCAACATCGGACAGACACATAAGAAGGTTGATAATCATGCAAATAAGTAGCGAGGAAGCACCTTGTACAGTACCTAAGGCTAGCCGCTGAAAGCCGCCGCAGGCCCGCGAAGGAATTAAGGCTGGCGGCAGGTTACTGCCTTCAGATTCTTTGGCCAGCGCAAGTGAGCACGCTGACAGCAATCTGGACGACTTAGTCGTAGCTCCCGATTGACGGGTCGCCGTGCTTCGCTCACGACGCGAGCTGCTTGAAGACCGTGGAGCTGCTCAGGTGGTGAAGGCAAATAGTCTTCCGCAGTAGCTGCGTCCAGTCTTGGGAGAACCTGCGCGCCGGGAATCCCCACTTCAAAAAACTTCCTCTGCTTGCTGCATTCCCTGATTCCAATGTGTAATCAACCCATTGAGTGCGCTCCTGGTTCCCGAGTCGGCTCGGACTCAACATGATGCCGGTCTAATCGATCGGGTTGTGGAGCAAGGAACTATTCTTGGCGATCGTGTCGATATGGGGTCAATGGCTTCGGTTATCGCTGTGGAGCATTGAGCGGTTGAGAGCACAAAGCTACAGTGACAATGCCGGTCTGTGTACGACGAAGAGAGTTGGATGCGTTTCTCGGTTCGCGGTCGGAGAGAGGCCTCGAACGGGTTCTCAGATATCGGTCTGTCGATTTATTGGAAAGAGTGTTCGCACGAGATGCAATGATAGACATACTAGTCCTAACAATATGAGCCATGAAGAACACGAACGTCTAATTGTACCTTTGTCCGGGGTTAGTTACCCCCGCTCTGTTGGGAAGATAGGAGCCTCAGCGACCGAGTAGACATCCGAGTTCCTTGCAGGGTCCGTCTAAAGCATTCAAGTGCGCAAGATCTGGCATGTTAGATGGAGCGGTAGACGTGGAAGAGTGGTTGTCAAGACATGGCTTCTTTGACTAAACTCGTCAGTTGCAGAGGCGCCCTTGGGAGCGATCCCTGACGTTCTAGCCCCCATGGTGCCTGATCAGATGGTTTGAGACCGAAGAGAAACGACAGTTGCTGTTGCTTTCGATGTGTAAGAAGCTCAACTGAGAAGCTAACAAAGACATAGTTGAGTTAGGGAAGAGCTGTTCGAGGCGCAGGGGAAGTCACTCTACCCAGGAGGAGACACCGAGCTTCCGGCAGGAACAGGGCGGAGCCTACTCCTCGCTTTCGGTCTTCGATAGGGAGAAGAACATCTTGAGCTGTCCTCTATAGAAAGAATGAGAACATCATACCATTCGAAGAGATAGTCCACATGGAAAGAAGGGGATGGACCAAATTTAATCAAGTTGAAGATGGTAAAGAAGAAAAAGAAGCCTCGACAACGAGCTCCCGCCGTCGGCTGTCACCAGGAATCACCAGACTTCAAAGCGACAACTTCAGCATCAGAGCACTCGAAACAGGATCAAAGAACATCTCAGGAAATATCAGAATTAACTAAAAGAGTCAAACACTAAATAACAAGTTCAAAAAGCTCACCTATCGGCGGGGGCGTTAGGCGCCGCACCGCAGACAGGCTACGAAACCCCCCCTTCCAGTTATCCTAAGGAGGTTTGCACTACGAAAGGGCCGATCCCCCGGGGGATCGAACCCAGACCACTGCGCCGTTTCCTTTGTGCCCGCAAGTGTTCCCGATTGCGCCACAGGGTCTGGGTTATTGACAGTTGTACTTGTTTTTGTTATAAGTACCGCGTTCCTGAATCCGATTAGGAAGGCGGTTGTGAGGCCCACTTTGGCAGAAAAAAACGGGGCTATGGGGCACCACTTTGTCGAGGCCTGAGGCAGGATGGCCAGAACGGTCAGGATCCTGCCACCACTTCGAGTTAGAGAAAATAAAGACAGCTCAAGCAGGATCTATCGGCACAGTATCTGCCATTTGACTTATGCTCTAATCCACAGTCAATTACTTACTCCCTAGGCTGTGGAATGTTGCCGCTTACACATAAACAATGTGGGGCTCATCTTAGCTTGGCATTCATGCTTAAATCGAAGTGGGTCTCCCAGCGGGCCGAAAATAAACTATGGTCCCTGTATGTGCTCGGCCGGCACAATCACCGCCAAGTGCTTGCTCACAATACTTCATATTTAAGAGCGTGTGCCAAACTCGAAGTTAAGCATAACCACTATATCTTTGTATATTCATTGCCCTATCCCTCTCATCTCTGCCAGCTCGAGACAATCACAAGATGATGAGATTATTCAGACTTTGTTCGGAGTGGAGTGACTAGTGTGTCTTAGTGCTTTTGCCAAGCAGAGGTTTATCACTAAAGGGTATGATGTACATGTCTGAACGAGAAACATGCATCGAGTGGCAGATTGACTTACTTGGCGGTTGCTACAAGTTTTCAACTATAACAGGACGGGAAATTCACCCGACCAAATGCGTTGGCCAGTCATCTGGCCTGCTTCAGCACTCATCAGGCAAGTCTCAGGGTCAATCTCCCCAGTTCAGGAATGTCGGAGGCAACCGCGGCACAGTAAATACTGTCATAGGAGGACTACATATGCCTCGACGGCTAAGGCTACATGTTCAGCCCGCATCTGTTTTCTGAGCTCTGATATGAGTAGCTCAGTTATACTGCTTACCACACAAGGGGCACAGTCTGACATCTCGGTGGCGCCATTATAAGAGATACAGCTGTTTACTGGAAGAAGATTGCCGGAACGTCTCTGCACATATCACATGCCATTCCCCGTCGAACGCCCTAGTCAGACGCCAACTTCATCTACAAACTGGCTGTACGCAAAAGTACTCACTTGCGAGGTGCCAGGTGCTTAGAGACTCCTTCCTGGAACGGCCTAGCACAGAGGAGTCTCGTTCAGGCTGACCGGAGATCTGAAGCTTTGATATCTCCACTCGGGCCTAGTCTAGACTAAGTAGTAGATCGACCCGATCACACTAAAGAGAAGGATGTCTGTCTCCACATCTATACTACAAGTCCCCCATGTCTCAGGAATTCCAAATATGCAATACTACCTCGCGAATGCACAAGTATATTGCTCCACCATGGATGCTAGGCTCTGCGATTCTGAGCTAGTCTAGCGGGGTAGCCGAGTATGGCAGCTATTGTCCCGAGCTCTATCCGCAATCTTTTGAACTTCATCATCATCTTTCGCAGCATAGTCATATACCATATCGAGTCTACTCAGCACATCACCAATTTGTACCTTTAGAGCAATGGCATCAAGCGACTCATCATCGAAATGGAAGCTCTTCAAGACCATCATCCCAGCATAGCGCCTGAAGACCATCTCACCACCCATGGGCAACTACACCAAGAGATGCCCAGCACCGAAGGATCCAACTATCACCTCCAACTCCACTCGGCCCTTCACCAGGATACTACATTCCGAATATCCTAGTCTTGTAACCTCAATCCGACCTACGTCCCCCAATGATCAAACCTATATAAAGCGCCCTTCAATCCTCTTATTCCCATCACCAGCATCACAGACTCACCAGCTCACAACCCAACGAACTCCAACCCACAACCCACAACTCATCAAAATGCAACTCTTCACCTACCTCCCTCTCGTCCTCAGCCTAAGCACCCCCGCCCTCTCAGCTTCTTGGGGTATCAAGGCCTGGCACAGCGACAACTGCAGTGGCTCCCTGCTGACACACATCGAGAACTCCCCCAAGACGGGGTGCTTCAACTTCGACAAGAAAGAGGGGTACGGGATCCGCTCGGTCAACGGAAACTTCAACAGCAAGGACTACCACATCACGATCTACCCCAAGGAGAACTGCAAGGGAACGGCGGCGTGGTCCGGCAAGAGCATCAGTCCCCACAAGTGCGAGGTGTTCAAGGAGTGGACCTCGAAGGTCGTCATGTACTCGTACAAGGTCACTGCTGCTTAGGCTTTTGTCAGGGGGATTGGACGGGGTGAGTTGCTTTTGTCTGGCTCGTGCTAGTTCGCGGGTTCTTAGAGAGATGACTGACCTTGCGGTGTAGGACCGGGATGTCGCTGCGCCTTTGGCTTCATCATACATATGAATCTTCATGGTGCAGGATTTTTGAGCGAATTATATGTACTTACTCTCCCCCTTTCCATAATCGCAGAGAGCAACTATGCATGCCATTAGCGCTTTTCTTCCTGTATGAGTGCATGCATAAGACTTTTCGCGAGCAAATGCACTGTATTCCCGAAGATTGAGAGTGCAACCCTAAAGATTGAGACAACTAGCATAGAGCTACCTCTTTCCATCCAACTGAAGCCTGTTCACCTTGCAATCCCCTCATGCTTCTCAACTGAGTTACCGAACAGATTCCCCGCACGGGTAGGAGGAAGACCCCTCCCCCGCACGTAAGGCGGTCAGCCCCCATCATAACTTACGGCGCATGACTTAATCGCAACGTTCTAGAACCCCCAATTCCTCGATCAACCAATCTTCTAGAACTAGAACTAAGTCCGGGTGAATCACACACCAACCGTATCGAATAACTAATCAAGCCCAGACCATCTACAAGCACTCGTAGGTAACTCCTCCCCTCACCACCGAGAATCAGAAATCCCCACATCGCCATTCCCAACAAAGAACCCACACAGCGCAACTTGGAAGCACAGTACATAATCATCGATGATGGCATCCATCCCCATTACGTCACCACCACCACACCCCAAAAAACCCAGACCATCCAGATTTATAACCCATGCCCCCCATTAGTCAATGCCACCTAGCCACCAACCGGGCATCCACGAATCCCTCCCAATTCCCTGAAAATAAAATGCCTCGCATCCCCTCACCATCCTCCAACCTGACAAAACACCTCATCAACCCATCAACAAAAACACTCACTTTCACCACCTTCCGAACCACCCGACTCCCTCTCCTCACAGCAACAACATCCCCCCAATACCGAAACCACAGCACCACCACGAACATCAGCAAATACACCGCCGGAAACATGACGAGCCAGCCCCCCAAGAACGAGATGGTCTATTTCCCCGGCGTCATGTCGCCGAGCCGGAAGTTCGGGGTGTTCCGCAAGGTGCTCCACACGGGCCTGTACTCGCAGTTCGTGGCCATGGAGGTGCCGGTCAATGGGGAGATTGGGGACGAGGTTTGTACTTCCAGAAGGTTGCGTGAGGCGAGCAAGGCGAGCTGACACTGAAATGTCCTGGGGTAGGTGCATACGGTTGATCAGACGTTGATTTTCACACACGGGACGGGCAAGGCGATTGTTGCGGGCAAGGAGCAGGAGGTCAAGCAGGGGGATGTGGTGATTGTGCCGGCCGGGACGCAGCACCAGTTCCTGAATGCGGGCGATACTCCCCTTGAGTTGGTGACGATCTATGCCCCCGCGGAGCATGATCCTCGGACGGTGCACCAGACCAAGGCGGAAGGGGACGCCCAAGAGGAGGCGGGTGAGGATGAAGCACCTGAGTGGAGTCAGCGGAGTAAGAGCGAGAACGAAAGGATTGGCCTGGTCAAGGTGCCACAATAGCTGGAATTTGAAAAAAGGTCATGTTCATTGTAATATTCGATTAAGCACAGATAAGTTCTTGAAACAGCAACACTGTCGTCAATTGTGACTTGTGATGATCCAACCGTATTATCCATAACCCTCTCCTCCTTGGCTCTCGGCGCAAGATGATCCAAGTGAGCAGACCGTCCTAATGTCCCCGGCAGACTATTTGTCATGTTGCTCACATGAAGCTTGTTCTTGAGGGACGGTCGTCAATGGCACGTTAGGCGTTTGAGATTGACTTGGCATCCTGACACCATTAGGTTGCTCCGGGATTCGAAATACAAGCCACACAAGCCTGTCGCCACCATTTGCTTCGTCGACTGGCAATCCGGTATGGAAACAAGGCATGCAGGTGCACATAACAGCAAAGCCGAGCTGCATGACGGACCATTGAGTAACATGGCCGTAATCGCCTGTTAAGTTTAGTACAAGATCAATGGGTTTGATCGTGTTATCTTCAGCATACCAAGAAAGTCACCCGTCTCGCATCCATATACAACACGAACTACACCGCTCATGATGACACTATCTGCATTAGCAGAGATACCGCTGGTGGGCAAGAAGTCGCGTGGCACTTAATCGATCCGAAGATTAGCACTAGTGTCAACTGTACTCTCATCCCGCCAAGCCGCAGTGGAATATATCTAGGAACCAATAAAAACAGCATCGCAGCATCGAGCACTAGATCGAAGACTCCAAAAGTCCAGAATTGCAGCTGTGATGAGGAGCAGCCGCCAAGGATAGACCTGTCCCAAAAGTACTGCGGTGGGATGCAGATCAAAACCTGGGGGATTGTCTTGAAGAACCAGAGGGCCGCAGACAAAAATATGAATGTGTCAACGCGAAAGCGGAGATTTGGGATTGGAAACATTCGTCGGCAGGACAACAGCAATGAAAGTCGGGCCAACAACAAAGTCAGGCCATGTAATAGCGGGTCAGCATATCTAGCCTGGAGGTACTGTCTGGCCTTCGATTCAGCCTCTTTTGGATCTGTGTAGCTCTGGCCCGCACCGTAGGTGTACACGCAGACAAGGGCCCCGGCACAGTAAGCAATGGATACAACTAGACTGGCGATGCATAGCTTGTCATCGGCGCCAATTGACGATCCTTGAACTTTGCGTGCACGTAGACGTAGAAACATAACAATTGCGGCCATCGAAATCGAGATAGCAACCGTGTACACTGTTGTGAGACCAATCATGTGTTGTTGTGGTGATATTATAATTTCAGAGGACGCCATGCTGAGAGTTTGTTCACATTTGAAACAGCTGTAGACGATGGAGATGAGTCGAAAATCGGGCACAAGATGAACAGTAAGCCGTGAGTTGCAGACTAATCTTTGAAGACGTTCGAAGTCAGTCCTGACTGATCGGAACATGAGGAATACACGGGAAAGTTAAAGTAGATACCTACCTGGTTTAAAATGTGTTTATGCGTGATGAAAGACGTATGGTGGAAGAATAAAGGTTATGGAGGTCGAATGAGTGGAATCAGACTAATCATCTGTTCTGAGGAAGTAGTTGCTTCCTAGGTAGTGATATTGTTGGGAAGGGGCAAAATTCACTCCTATCAAATAGTTCAGTTTAAAGAGAATCACAGCTGTGATTGCAAACGCTGACCTGAGTGAATAGAGAAATGGTGTGAAAAGGCAACTGCAGTCTTGTTCGGAATCTTGTTTATGCGTCTAGGTTATAATGTGGTTGTGACGTGCAGTAGCTCAAGCTTTACTGCCTCCCGACGTTGGTCTGACTGCGACAAACTGGGCAATAGAATAGAGTGTAGATGGAGAGGAAGGAATCTAAAGAATAAGAAATAAATCTTTACATGTAAGCAAGATGTGAGTCGTCGACCGTGAATTAAGACAGAGAGCTGTTTGAAGTATGATTGTATCTCAGTATAGTTTTTATATGAAGGAGTAAGTCTATGATCATCTCACCATTGATTTACTGCTTCTAATGAACTTGTGCAAGTCCCTCTTAACCACAAGCACACATAGTGCTTACATAGTATTGTGTGCCAATTTATGTTCATATGGACAAGGCTTTTTGGGTCCAGGTTACAAATGGAGGGGCAATCGAAGCAGCAAGAGGAAGTGAGTAAATGGTGATGCCTCAGGTTCAGATTACTCTCGCGCATATTTGACTTCAATTCTCGCTAGAAACTTTCATGACATTAGTACTAAAGTAGTCTATCACACTCTATCAATATGAACTCAAAATTCACATCAAGATGACAATTTTTCCTTTCTATATCGCTTCCAGCTGACAAGCATAAAGAAAACCGAGGTTACCACCCCGAGACCAGCAAGTCCGATACCTAGATATAGCGCACCGCGGTATCCCCGAAGCGCAGCTTTCCCCGCGTTGTTGACATTCGACTCCACGGTACCAGCAAAGCCCAGCCCAAGCGAGATCGAATAGTTCACTGTCGTGGTGACCAAGGAGGCTGCGAGCCCTTGGTGGTGGTGATGCATCGAATTGCTGAGGATCAAGGTGCCGGATGGGAATGACATGTCCCTGTAACAGATTAGCGACATGCTACCACTGACGAAGAAACTAGGTGTATACTCACATTCCCCATGAAGTGATCAAGCTAGCAACGAATGCTTGGGCCCAATAGGTCTGGTTCAAAGGTATTGTGGCAACAAGGCCCTGACCGACGGTGAAGAAGCACATGGCGCAGAACATGATCACACTCGGTGGCAATCGGCCGAGAAGGAAGCCGGTGACGAGGGCGGCGACTGCCCCGGACGGTGCAGCAGCGGACCACTTCGCCGTTGCTAGTAGAGGCGAGTCTCCTTTGATCACCTCCATGAACTGATAGAAATAATAAATGACTATGCCAAAGCTAGACCAGCCGGCAGCAATGCATCCGAGCACCCATGCCAAATCCCCTGTCAGAACCGACCGGGGGATCAGTGGACATGAGGCCGAGCCTTCGACCCAGTCGAAGATAGCGAAAAGGACAAAGCCGACGATGAGAAGAACATAGGTATACACCGTCGGCCATCCGACCAGAGCTGCTTGGTTCCAGGCGAAGTTGATCAGTACTAGTGCTGAGATACCGGTTGTCGCTCCGAGGACGTCCAAGCGAGCCCACGTCGATAGGTCATCTTTGAACTGCGGCCGGTGAGTTTGTGGTATAACCAGCAGGCCTAGCACCGACAGCACGAAGCAAACGATCCCCATTACCCAGTACGCCCAAGGCCACCACACGAGCTGCGCGAATATAGATGAGAATACACCACCGACGATGAACCCGCCAGGAGCAGTGGCACCGAAACAGCTGAAAATCATTTCTTTGCGCAAGCCCGGCGGGTATGCGCGGCCGAGGATCGCAATCGCATTCGGGAGCAGCAAAGCTGGGCCGATGCCTTGAAGTGCCCGGCAGCAATCGAAGAAGACTTTGTTGGACCATACACTAAACCCAGCCAGAAGTGACCACAGTCCGAACCACGCGAAGCCGATGATGAACATGAGACGATGACCATACACATCTCCAAGCCGACCCGCAACCAAAATGAAAGTGCCGACGGTCAGACTGTAGGCTGCGGCAAACCAGCTCAGCTCGCCTGCGCTGGTGGTTCCGAAGCTGTCCCCGATGATATGTGCCGGCGCGATAGACATACATAGCCCAGCTTGCGTCATGAATTGGGCCATACATACTACCGCGATGAACGCAATTTCCTTCCAAAGCACTGAAGGTGGTTTGAGTGTCGACTGGGCAGTTTCGAGCCGAGTCAATGCCTCAGGGTCATGCTCGTCGGCCTCATTGTCAATTGGTTTATCGTGCAGTTCGTTGCGAGAGAGGGTAGACTCGGAATCGGTAGGGGTAGATTCGTCTCGGAACTGACGATCGGAGTATTCTGTCTCGGTGGTCATTTCTTTCAAAGCGTCTTCAAGCCTCAAGAGAATGCAGCCCGTTCAACAAGACACCGAATCTAAAGGACAGCCAACAGCTCCGGGCCCGAGCTCGGGAGATTCCCCTATCTTAAGTATCGCGAAATGTTGTAGCCCAAGCTGTTGATGATATCTATCTTGACCCACTCAGTCGCCACAGCATCATATACTGCGATACAATTCGTTGTTCAAGCCTGAAGAACTGTCCCAAAAGAGCTAGTCGAATCTTGCGGACCCGTACTTGAGGCTTGTCCCGTCGGAAAACACTCCGGGCCCGACGGAATGCAGTACGTCACCGTCAGCCCGAGTCGAAAACATCATCTCCATGTACGAAGATCTAGGGACTTCAGCAGACTCCTTACGCGCATTTCGCGTTGCCGATTGCTCGGGACTGATATTTCTTGCTTGTTACTTTTCTTGTGAGAAGATAGGTGTTCATCTCTGCTAGCCAATGCAGGGTCTTTGCTCGTCACAGCGGCTTCTCAGTCCGGATTGATCTTGATGAGATCAGATGCGTCAATCATCATGACTTCATAAAGAGCAATCCCTGATCTTCATCGTGGCGCTAAGCCTATTCAAGGTGATAAAACATCTACTATGTACTTGCATTCGACATACAAACATATTTTTTCTGGAAGAAGATCGAACATCTATGAACTTTCCCTCGGCAGATGATCGCCTATGGGTGACAAACATATTGACACAATAGTTCCCTACGACTCAAAAATTGTATCGTAGTCTTCCAGCCACAGCTATTGCTAAGGCATTACTAGTCACATTTGTCGCATTGATAAACCACTCTCGGAATCGTACTTCCGCTACCGGGAAAATCCCAAACGTGCTAAGTCACCTAATAAGTTAGAGCACAGTAGAACTCAGCATATATCAGTATTGGATACAGGTCATTGATTACCTCGGCCTTCAAAGATGACCCAATCTCTATTCTCGCCTTTGTTCTTCAGCCTTAGAGCCATTTGCTGACCCGCCATACTGTTTGCCTTCAGTAGTCTCTATCACAACAGCTTGTTAGAAGCACTGGCCTTATATTGGTAGCACAATGTTGCCACTGTTAGCAACCACTGAGTTCTATTATCTAGATTGATCTTCATGCTATCACCAAGCGATTCCTGGCAAGCACTAATCATAATATGGCTAAGAGATAATGTGCAGAGTTGGAGCTTGCAATCACGAAGACAATGACAGCACTTACTGTAACTCTCCGGTATGACAATGCAACTACAACGGCCATGTCTTTGATGGTAAATTTCTTAAACAACCAGGCCAACAGAGCATTGGCTCAAAGTCAAATGAGAAACGTCTTTATTGCTTCAATATGGCGATGACGTATAAATACCATTCATTGTCCCATAGTCTATTATAGTATGCCAGAATCCCAACTGAGCCAGAAGTTTAGCTATACGAGCCCCTATCGCCCTATCGCCAACATGCCCCAAACAAGTCAGATCCAACCTTCGAAGCCGCGTGAGAGCTTGAAGGAGCGGCAGCAGTGCCAAGTCGCCCAGATTTTCATCAAAAACAAAATCCCCTACGTCTACTTCCTGGCGCCTAGCGTCACGTCAAGCAGCCCGGACTACAATTCAAGCAGCTGGGTGATCCCGGACGAATACTTCGGACGGGCCGTCTGGCTACTCAAGAAGAAGGCCGACCCGCCAAAATGCCTGCTCAAGAGGGACTGTGCCACGCGGAGCAAGCAGTTCCTGCGCCCTCTGGCCGACTACCACTTCCATTCGGCCAAGTATCCGACGGTGGAGGAGTTCCGCCGCGGCTGCCCCATCTCCACCTCGATCGACCTGTACAAGCAATCGACTCTGCTGTGGATGTTCCCCAGCCCGCCGATCGGGTTTGTGACCCCGAGGAACCCGCACTACGAGGCGCGGGGGCTGCCCAAGCCCGGCTTGCGCAGCTACCTGCCCCTGGCCAACAAACTGCCCGTCACGGTGCTGACCTTCCCCAAGTACATCGAGACCTTCATCATGCTGGCCTGCCGCGACTCCGCGGGCCACTGGTCGCTCAAGTTCTGGATCGACTACCTCCTGTTCATCCGACGGTACGAGGAAGGGGCGCGCCAGCGGGACCCGTCGCTCGCCGCCGACAATGACAACGCGTTCCCGCTCTGGCGGATGGAGACTATCGACGAGCCCTACCGGGAGTACTATAAGCGACTGGTCTACTACGACCACGACCGCATCACGGACAACGACTGCGGCACCCAGAACCTGCGGTTCATGCACTCGACCTTGACGGACCTGATGCATCTGCCCAAGGGGGACGGGAAGCTGCTGTGGTGCTGCTGGGGGAAGCCGGTCCAGGTCCACCAGCGGCAGCCCCGGCCGCCGTGGAAGACGGTCCGGAGTCAGGGCTTCGCCCGCCCGGAGCTGGATCTGCAGAGGCTCGGCACCGAGCATCGTTGTGTGCATAAGTTGCTGCTTGAGCCGCCTACGCTTCTTGAGGCTTCTAGGCCTCCAGGAGCTCCTCGGCGCCTTGAGCCTCCTGAGCTTCCTGCGCTTTCTGCGCCGCGTGCAAGTAGTTCTGTTTATTCGGATTAGTGTTCGATATACCCCCTGTTCTAGATTCTTGGCGCGAGGCTATTGACTCCGGCGCAGATAGTTAATTCATTCTGTGTCATAGTGTTGCTGATCTTCTTTACTTTTCACTAGTGTATGAATCTGGTTTATTGTTGGCTGTACATGTTGTACGTACGTAAACGAATTTTTCAACTTGGGTGTTGATCTGTGCTGAAGCTGTATGAAGTACCAACTTGAAGCGGTAGACATGGTGCGGATACTGTATCGTGGTGCGGTACGGAGTAGAGCTTGGGCAATATATTGCGTTCCTTTTCTGAGATTGCGCGATTCTTCAAGTACAAAAACGATTATTGTACTATTTATGTGATATAATTGATGGTCGGTTGACGATCCTCGGCAGAGAGTACCTATTGAAAGCCAAGAACAACCTAAAAGATCCTTCGAAGCTCTGCTACTGCTTGAGGAGAAAGGACAAGAATGGCATTTTATTCCGTGTTCTGGTGGCAGTACCCACGCGGGAGGATAGGCGGTAAACCGACGATCATGTGATACGCCAGAGTCTCTTTTCTGCTGCCCAAACAGGCTCATCAATCAATCCCTGCGAGAGGAAAGAAGAAGTTCAAAAAAAAAAGGCAAACTTCTCTTCCAGGTGGTGTGACTACATACAAACCTGACCACCCTCCGCAAAGTCCCGCTCTCATTCTCGTGTTCTATGGTGTACTTTGTAGTCAGGATACTGCCGAATATCGGCATCGGAAGGCAGTGGATCCGGTGGCTTGCTCCACATGATCTCAGCGCCTTAGCTAATCACAATCACATGCCCCGGTGACGAAGCAGCAAAGAAATTACGAGAGTCACTGCAGGTGAGCGAAGAGAAAAAAAAAAAGAAACGTGAATTCACCTCCTCACCGGGAAGACTCTTCATCCGACCGATCGCAATCAGGAAGAATGTGACCGGGAACTTCCCCCTTTGTCTCAACTGATCTCTCCCCGTCATCATGTTGTGTCCCTTTCCTAGTTCTTTGTTAGCGACATTAACATCTCGGATCGCCCTCTAAACGCGCTGTGATCGTGGCTGTGGAGGTGTTGCTGTCTACCCCGCCGGAGCGACGAGACAACCTGGGTCAAGGCGACAACCACACCCCCTTTCCAGCTGTGACCTGCGAGGCATCGACTTACCAAATTTGAACTCGCTCAATCTTACATCGACCACCTTTTTCACCTTTAAACTCTCCCTTGTCTTGTCCAACTTTCAGTTCGACAAACACTTGTTGTTTTCCTTCTCCCGACGGCTGCCTTATACTGCCGCCATGGGGAAACCCCCCGCCGCCATCATCATTGCTAGGTAAGGCTTCACGTTTTTCATGCTTGCAAGTAATAGATCGCATTCTTACGCTCACTGCCTCGATAGACATGGCGCTCGCCTGGACGCTGCCGACAAGAATTGGCATTTGACATCTCCCACTCCTTACGACCCTCCCCTCTCCTACGGCGGCTGGCTACAGTCCCGCGCGCTCGGTGCTAGAATTGTCGATCTTCTACAATCCCTAGACGATGAGATAGACGTCTCGACACAGAGCGATGCTGCACGGAAACAATTCCTCGATCGCGTCAAGACTCCACCCCGCAAGCGCCGGGTCATCATCCATACCTCTCCATTCCTTCGTTGCCTTCAGACAGCTATCGCAGTCAGCTCAGGAATTTGCCAAAACTCTCCTGAACCGGACGACTACCACCGGCCCTATGGCTCGCTTGCAGGACAGCTTCACAATGCAACCCACGGATCCCTAAAGAACTTGACTTTGGACACTCCTCCGAGCTCGAGCCCCAGGTCTAGCCTGGACAACACGCGATGCCTTTTGCGAGTTGACGCTTTTCTCGGAGAATGGCTCAGTCCTGACTATTTCGAACAAATCGTGCCTCCTCCCTCCTCCGACCGAATGATCGCCGCCGCCAAGATTGAGCTTTTAAGACGTGAGCAGCATTTTGTCCCGGCGGCAGACATAACGTCCCGACCATCGGTTGGCTACTTCCCGGGTGGTTGGGGAAGCGTTTCAACTCCAGTGTCTCCTGCCCCCGACCTCAACGCGCCCAATGAGCCTGAATCTGCATCCACAACAAATTCGGCGCCAGGGCACAGAACTCGTGCGGGTAGCTGTGACGCTTTGGGTGCTGGTGACGCCTCTCGCAGCAAAAGACTACTGAACAAAATCAACACCAATCTATCGCCCATTCCAGACAGCGCATATGTGCCTCCGACTCCAAGCTATGCCATTTCTCCTTCCAATCCAATACCTGCTGGATATGTGACTCATGCCCGTGATGCCTGCGTCAATGTCGACTACCAATGGGACAGCATGCGTGGTGACCAAGATTGGGGGAATGGAGGCGAATACGGGGAGGAATGGAGCTCAATGCATGCAAGATTCCGCAATGGGATGGAACGCATGGTTAGCTGGTACGACGAACATGATTTCACAGGGTCTACCCGCCAAAGTCAGCGCAATTCGCAGATGTTGAACGGAACCGGCGACAACAATCAAAGCGACGATACTGACGACGAAACCGAGACCATTCTGGTTGTAATTACGCATGGAGCTGGCTGCAATGCACTCATTGGGGCAATATCCGGGGAGCCAGCACTTGTCGATATTGGCACGGCCTCTCTCACCCTGGCAGTGCGCTACCCTGACCTGCACGAGTCAACTGGGACCGCATCAACAGTTTCGGTTGGGTCCCTGGGCTCCGAGCAGTCTTTCGACGAGCCGATCAATTTGCAAAGTTATCGGTTGAAAAAGGTAGCATCTACCGAGCATTTGCGAAATGGAGTTAGTAACCCCGCTGTTTCGTCGCCCGTCACCCTCGCATCACCAGGCATCCCAACCTATCGCCAGCGTGCTGCCCCGCGAAAGTCGATCTCACAGGGAATGTTCATCATCGGCCCCTCCTCTACATCTGGCATGGGGTCCCAGTCGTGGAAGGCAGCACGGCCCTCGACAGCTGTTACCCCCAGTGGTTCAACGGGGCTATGGGGGTCCGTCTCTGCCTCAGCTGAGCCAGCAGATGACATTGTGCCCAACTTTGGCGATTGGACCACGCCAGCTCCTACACCGTCTACGAATGAAATCTGTCACGATGTGGATAAGCCGGCCACCACTGGGCAAACCTGGACCAGTCAACTGCCGCAACGAACCATGTCGCAGCGTGGTCTGTGGGGCAGCGAACCCCTGCAAAAGGATCGAGAAGCGGGCACCAAACGGCGTTGGACCGTGACGGAACGACGAAGACTGTGATTTAGCATGTGATACTGCACATTAGCTTCTTGGCGTTGGATGGATTGTCCGTGGACGTCGCTCACGAATTTACGAACTACCAAGGAGGAGATCTATGAGGTTTACTAGGCTAGTCATCTTGCTCAGAATCTCGGCTAACATGGGATGTATGTACTAACTAATGGTTTTGAAAAACAACACAATATACCCAATCAGTCTAACCACACATATTCTCCACTTCAATCATGAATCCTGCCGCAATTTTCGAATCGTAGCATAGTCTGTGTTCACAACCTTTTCTCAGCTCTGACATCCGGTTGCACCGCCTAGGCTCCAGCCATCCATCCCTGCTCTCAACTAGCGCAATCGACAGGAGGATTGACACGTAGTACACCCACCATCAAGCAAAAGACAAAGATGATCGCGGGGTTCCCATCCAAGCCAAGAACAAATTACATTCCCTCCTTCTGCACCTCACCCAGCCTTAACTGCATCCAGGCTAGCGCAGAAGATTGGTAAGACGCCGGAGAGATTTGCATCCTTTCCCGCCCCGCACATCGCTCGGAGACATGAGTAATCATCTTATCTGGTCTGGTGCTGCGGAAAAATCTCGGCCAACCCGCGATCAATTTCCCTTGGTACTAGTCTAGAATTTTGTGGTCTACTCATCAATGGACAGGATACCCGCTGAGAAGATTCCCCGGGAGGGGATGATTCACCCGCCAGGCCTCTTCTGGTGGCATGGCCGATTTACGGAGGATTGATTGATGTGATGAAAGAGATTTTTTTGGGGGGGCTGGTGGGGTTTGGCAGGGCTGGTTTGGGCTTAGTTTCCGCTGCGGGCTCCTTCCATGTTTCTTCACAATTATGAATGGCTTCAACAACAAAGAAGGACAAGGTCTTTGTTTGGTTGTTCTTTCATTGCATTGTGATGCATGAAGTTTGGTGATGATTGCTTCAACAAGCGCAGGACAAAGGGCGGAATGTGCTGCGTCCATGCCCTTTTACTATGAGATCAGGTTTCGCAGATGGAAAGAATATAAGGAAACATCATGACACCAATCTACCTGGTCATCATGCTCGTCACTATATGGAAACTGACCTCTCCCGGCTGGTTAGCACATTTCTTATACCCAAGATGTCCGATTCGCTTTGTGGTCTCAGCACTCACTCAGGTTTTGCAGAGGGTGTCTCGCAAGGGACGAGTGGTCCAGGACAAAGAGTTTCTCTCCAGACTGACCTCTGGGAAGTGGTAACAAACTTCCTGGAGAAGAACGACCTGATCGTCTTCTCTGGGTCTCGTCGCGGTGTCTTCAACGCTGTGAGCCACAAGCGCTGTTCTGCTTGTCAGGATCAGCTCCTGACTCCGCAGGAGGTATATGGCAATCACGCAGCGGCCGCTGCTGATGAGAACGCCAGGCTCATGGTCTTCAATCTGCGCCCCGTGGAGAATGCTGCCTGGGCAATTGAGCGTGGCGCGGTGAGTGAGAATCAGGTAGATGACTATGCTGACAAGCTGGCCAATGCCGTGACCGTGAGTGGATTGTCGATTTTGTCACTGGCCGTTCTTCGGGGAAGAAAGGACGTGGCGAATGTTCTTCTGAAGCATCGCGCGGACCCTACTTACGGAGGCGAAAATGCTGACTTGAAGCCCTTGGACTATATCAGATCCCCCTTTCATCGAACCGACTCAGCAGGAGACCCAGCAAGGATCAAGGCCGCCGTGGCAATGGTGGAAACACTGATCACCCGCGGAGCGACCTTCACCCAGAAGGGGCCCTGGGATATCATTCTGTGGACTCGACGCGTCGACCCCATCTGCGAAGCGGTCTGGAATGGTGTAGATCTCCTCAGTCTGCGCTGGGAGAGCCAGGGTGTAAGTCTGAGCCCGCTGAGCGCTATCCTCCATCACCCGGCCCTGCCCGAAGAAAAGGTCCGCGAGGAGGTCCTGCGGGAGATCCTGGAGGCTGCGCCCAGATTGATGGACATCACCGACGGCGGGGGACGCACCGTCATCCACCAAGCCGTGCAAGCCCACCGGTGGAATCTAGCGCAAGCCCTGCTCCGGTTCCCATCCACGACATGGCCGATCGCCAACGACGGGCAGAGCGCGCTGACCATCGCCATCGCCCACGGTAAGACAAAACTGATCGCGGGTCTGTTGGACCGCCCCGAGTACGAACTAGACTTCATGCACGACGTCGACTCCATGCTCCTGTGGCATCATGTCAACAGCCCCACTCAGGAGTCCTCCCCGCTGATGGTCGCCGTCGCAAAGGCGGCCGAGTGCCCCAGAGCCCTGTATACGCTGGCCACCCACCCGCGCATGTGTATCCCCACAAACGTGCCCGATCGCCTCAACGTCCGACATCTGGCGCTGGAGCTGGGGATGGAGGTCGGCCTTGGTCCGCGCCATGTCGCGCTGATCAAAGCCATCCCCGAGCGGTGCGATTATGACGAGGGAGAAACTTGCACTAGGGCTGAGTAAATAATCTACTACAATTGATCTAATCAAAGTTTCCTTTCGACAAACACAGACACAGTACAAAACTCGCTTTATCAACATACCCCCAATCAAATGAACAAACCTGTAATCATAGCACCCATCTACCCCATCACTCACCCACCCGCGTCAGATAGAAGTGCAAAACCCCCGAATCCCGATAATAAGGCTTATACTCATTGGTCGCCGCCACGGTACACTCATTCACATATCGAAACCGATCTACCTTGTCCTCGCCGTCGGGGATGACCGCGCAGGCGTCGATACCGTGGAACCTGATTTGCCGGACCTTGTTTTTTTTGGGGAACGCATCAGATCTGGCCTTGAATTTCATTTACTAGGGATGTCTCACCTTTTCTGTCTCCTCTAACGAAAACAGTGTCCGGATAAGCGGCAGCCCGTCCGTCGCGATGGCCTGGGCCGGATGTCCCGTGTCGAGCAAGTGGATGCTCCACTCTCCATCCAAGAATTTTGGGGATACCGGATTGAGTCGGTCGTAGATGGTTTCGAGCTCGGCGCGGTCGAGTCGGCCTGGTGTTTGGGTGAGGGCGAGGTATTCTTCTGTTGGGTTTTGGGTGCTATGGTTGTTAGTTCGGATAGTAGGGGGTGGGTTTAGGATGGCGTACGTTTTCATGGTGATGGTTCGTTGTGGGATGACTTTCGGAAGTATACGGGTAGAGGTACAGAGTCAAGATAGTGTGAATTTTCTGGCCTTGTGGTAGTGTGCATCCCTTTTGCGACTTCATATACCCGGATCCAACGCGGAGGTTTGATACTTGATTGGTTTCTGGCGTCTTCCTTGTATGGTGTATGCTGTCATTCGATGCATAGAGAGAGGAATATGGGAGGGATCCGCGGTATGTGTGCCAGCTCGATCGGGGTGTCTGCAGAACTCGCAATGTACTCAATGTGCTGCGTGGGCAGCGGTGATTGATTTCCTACTAGGTACTTTTGTGCGAAGTTATCGAGCGAGAGATTGTCCCCTGCTTGGGTATACGGCTATCTATCTCTCCTGGTCTTTTGCATGTTGAATGGGTCCAGTACGTCCTATCAGGAGAGTTAATGGCTTGTTTCGCCATACTGCAAAAAGCAGGTCTGTGCGAGAGCAATTATTTTGGTCTGAAATGTCATCCTCCAGATCCGTGATCATGCATCCCAGCATTCTTGTTCTTTGACGTCACTGCATTGATGCAGACTGCCTATTTCTATCGGCCTTTTGGAACTCTGGCCCAAGTTCAGCGAAACAAAGTTCAACAGCATCAATCCGATCATGTAATTTGAAGTCTGGATATCTGGGTTGCTATTGCCACCTTGAGAGAGGAGACATAGAGTCGGGTTTCTTGCCATCATATAAGACATTTTCGGATAGACTTACTCCTTTCAAGCTCGGTGTCTTGCTATCCTGACCCTGCGGCTACAGGCTCACGGAAGATCGCTTGCTGCTCGATCGTCCCTTGCATTTCGAAATGTCGAACCCGCCCAGTGAGGTTGGCAATTTCGGCAGCGGCGAACTTGTGGCGAGAACACCGTGTCTGGGATTGCTGCTAGGGGTCCCAGAAGGGCCAGTCGCTTGCAATGATTCAATATTTAAGTCTGGTTAGGGACGGAAAGCCTTTCATCCCGGAGTGGAAGATAGGTATTTGCCCGGCTCAATAAGTATATATGTTGGTATATCCTCTTGTGTTGTGATGCGTCTGCGTCCCAACGACTGAGTTCTCGTCAATTCATCAATTCAAGTCATTTTGAGATGAGAGTGCGAACAGGCGAGAGTGCAAAAAGCTAATTTACCTGTCGTAGGATGCATTTGAAACATTACAGATCCGTGTTTGCTTGAAACATTGCCGGATGGGTTGTTGTTGCCTTGTTTGTGTCTGAGTTATCGGGTAGTTATCAGGCAGCTCAGCTTATCGGTCTTGGGAGGCTGGGAACGTGCGGTACCTGTCAATTATTGTAATCGGCTATTGCTCTGGCTGTCAACTGTCAAGAAAATCCAATACAGCTTCAATTGAGGAAGCTCTGACCATACCTAAGCTCGTGCATGGGCCAGAAGTGGACTCAATATCTGACTGCAGGTGACTGTGAGTGGGGTTGCCTGAGGTGTCGACCAGGTACGTAAGTGCGGAGACAGGCTGCAGTTCAGGGCAGTTTCCCTGTCCTCAATTCCTCCAGCCACTGGATTTTACTATTTTTGTCCGCGCGGGCAAGCAAGAAGCAAGCTAAGAGGATGAATTTAAATACGCCGCCCACCAAGGCGGGCCTCGATCTCTTGTCACTACTTGTATGCTCCAGCCTTCCATTCCATTCCCAATATTACAATTGATTCTCCCTCCCTCCTCCCTCCCTCCATCCATCACTATTACTGGCATTGTTTGTTACGGCCCCTCTATTCCTCTTCCTACATCTCCTGCAGTGAGTGCGGCAACCTTCAAGCATGTCTGCTGCTCCGCGCCGCAATGGCCAGCCACCACCGCCATGCGAACCGTGCCGCAAGTCCAAAATGCGCTGCGACAATGTAATCCCCGCCTGCCAGAATTGCATCCGTCGAGGCAAGGCCGAGAACTGTGTGTATCCCGCCCCTCCCGCCACGCGCACCTGGTACTCGGACAATGCTCCGTCGCCGACCGCGTCTCCGCGCTCGCAGGGCCGCCCGGACTCCTTCACCCAGGGTGGCCGGTCAACCCCCAACGGGGACGAGAAACTAGCCGCCATGGGTCTTCCCACCACCGCCACCACCGCCAACAACAACAATAGCTCGGCCATGTTCAGTGAGATGGAGGACCAGTTTCGGGGGTCCATGTACCTCGATGCTTCCTCCGCGGGCCGGGCCGAGCCTGCCACCACGCCGGATCCGAGGCAGATCCAGATGGGCGCCCGACTGCTCACCTTGCTGTTCGAGAACCTGCCCCTGTATGAGCGTTTGGCGGAGACCTCGCTGGATGTGTGGCCCGAGGGGTGCATCCTGGGTCACCGGCTCATCACGGGGATGTTTGAGGCCCTCGAGGATATCCTGGAGGCCTTGACTTCTGACCCCAGCTACGTCAAGGATCGCCATTCGACGATGCTGCGGTGGGCGCAGAAGATCTTCGACGACAGCGCCAAGCCCCTGACGGTGCATGCGGCCACCACCCCGGAGGACTATATCCGGCGGATCTCCTCCCGGTGGGAGGGCATTGGGCTGGTGTACTCGATCGTCGGGCAGGGCGCCATGCTGGAGCGCGATTGGCGGTCCATCCGCGAGCGCGAACGCAATGTGCCCCGTGATCAGAAGTTGTTGGCGGCCCAGGCAGTCTCGGCGAGTGATGCCTGTCTGCAGTTCTGTGATACCTTTGGCGCGGTGGATGATTCGCTGGGCTGGTTGTTGTTCCAGCATCTTCATCTCTTGACCTTGGTTTACGGTGAAAATGGTATGTTTGATGAGTTTCTCTTGGTGCGGGCAATCGGGACGTAGGCTAACAACTGACAGATCCTCGAGCGTGGAGGAAGCTGGCCGAGCTTGCGACAGTGGCTTTCACTCTCGGTTCCAATCAATCAGAGAAGGACACGAGGACCCCCTTCTTCGTGGTCGAGCTTCGCAAACGTCTGGTCGCGGGCGCATACAGCATCGACAAACAGCTGGCCACCTCCTTGGGCAGACCCCCCCAGATCAGCTGGCGCTACTATGACGTCCAGTTCCCGCTCGACTTGAGCTATGATGAGATTCTAGCCGAGCCGAAGATCCGCGAGGCGGCCATCAGCAAGCTGGACAAGACGGGATGGAATACCCAGGGAGTCGTGGGGAAGTCCGCGTGGCTTCGGATTGCGCTGCTCATTGGCTCGACGAGGGAGCAGATTCTGGAATTGTCGCTCAGTCGCCGTATTGACGATTTGTCTCGCAAGGTTCAGTAAGTGCCTTGTCACGCTCTCTACAAGACATATCGCTTACGTCGCATGCTTAGGGAGGTGTCTCAGCAATCTCACAAAACTTGGAACGAGCTGCCCGGCTTCCTTCGCTGGCGGCCTGGCTCTCCCGACCCGAACGGTTCGAGCAGTGTTCTTTTGCCTCTGTACTTGAACTTCCTCTACAATGACTTCCTCCTTTACCGGGTTTTGGTGAAGCGGACCCAAAGCGGTGGGGAGGGCTTGATCAGTGTGTCACAAAACATACTGAGCACCATTCTCGAGCTCATTGGGAAGGAAATTGGGTCTAGGGCTGGCACCTATAATGTCGGATGGAATGTGCGTATTGCCAATTTCTTTAGTGCTGCGAATCTGTACTGACAGCTTACAGGCATCGTCCTTTGGTCTTCCCGCAGCCGGAGTCTTAGCTATCGAGCTCCTCCGTCAATCCGAAGCCCAATCTCAGGTCCAAGCCACCCCGTTCCGCCGATCGGAGGTTATCCAGAAACTCACTGTCTTCGCCTCTCATCTCCAATACGTCGTCCGCCCGCATGATGGCATGTACGATGTCTGCCAGCGTGCACGGAAGGTCATCTCCAACATTCTGGATCGGGTCCTCACGGTCAACGCATCCCCGATGCCTGCCACCTTGCCCGCCGATGTTCTGGCAACCAACTGGCTGAACGGCGAAAATGTGACCCTTGATGACGGCACGGACTTGTACCGGTGGATTGAGAATCTCTACCCGGATACGGCTGCATCCACGGCTTCCTGGGCTTGAGCCCGACACAGCCTCATGATATGGAAATGATTGATGAAATAAGCCGATGACCGTGGGCAGATCCAGATTCAGATGTGTCTGTCACCTCCCACCCTACCATGTTATGACCATATACCCCTTCTATGTGACCCGGGACACGCAAGAGTGTGCAGATTGCCTTGTGATGAGTATGGAAGACGAGGTGCACTTCGCTTGCTCCATAATGCTGTATTTCATTTTGCCACCTGTTCTTTCCTTTCAGTTCCGTGGCAGTCTTTTTGCTTCTTGCAAGCTTCTTCTGCGGCGAACAGGTAGCTAGAATTGTATTTGGGCAACAATGATTATTTATGCCATGTAGCGTGTCATTGCAATCGGCGGAATACACGTCAGCGCATGCAGTCTATTGCATTCAGCTGAAGCGGGATGGTTCCCATTTAGAGTTCTGATTGAGCTGCAACGCGACGTAGGATCTGACAGGGCTCATTCTAGCCGATGACTCTGCTATTGTTGAGGACAGATACTCCGGAACTCCGTCAGAACTCGTTGTAGAAGGGAGCTCACTCATTATTGAGACCCGACGCCCTTGCGTATCGGCTATCTTTAGAAGCACTAGTGTGGATGATCGATAGGCGATAAGTTATCGGGCTATTGACGGGCTGATAAGCCAAGGCGGGCGGGCATGTGATCACTTCAGGGATGGGAGGGAATGTGGGGCGGTGTTTACCGACCGAATCAGGACATCATCACATGGAGTAAGTGGTAGCAGATTGTGGCGGATACTACGACTCTGCTTGGACGCTGTCGACGCTGTCAACTCTGCGCCAGATTTTGTAAATGCGATGACTCAATTGCAAGGTTGTGAGGACAATCGGATCCTCGGATCCAGGGATCCAGCATTCAGCGAGCCCTGAGAATGACTCCGCTGTGTTTCTGTCTTTCCGCCACCGCGGCGTCGATCCCGTGTGCCCAATCGTGGTGGAGTGATTGGCCGGCGACCTCCGCATTTTCCGGGTGCCTGCATGGATGCCTTGATGCCTGGCGTGGTGCCAGACCCAGCGTAACTGCGTCACTGGGTCCCTTTCCCCCCCATTCCTTGTCCTTGTACCGAGTACTTGTACACAGTCTCCCCTTTACCTTCTACTCCCTCCTCTCTCTCTCTCTCTTTCTCTCTCTCTCTCGCTCTTACTCTTCGTTCAGTGTTTGGACTCGTGAAATCTCCTCCAGCTCTCTTGTCTGTCTCTACCTCTGTTTGTACATACACATACACACAAATCAAGGCATGTCAGCTGTCGCAAATGACGGGTTCTCCGTCATCCATACTAGTGGCCGAACAGGCCCGCCGGATCTCCGATTAATTCACTACAACGATGTCTACCACGTAGAGTAAGTTCTCATTGCACCTTGAGGTGGACACCCCGACCACAGAGAATATGTCGCTAACACGCAGCCGATTCCCATAGACCAGGTTCCGCCGAGCCCGTAGGCGGCGTCCCGCGCTTCCAGTCTGTCGCTAATTACTATCGCTCCGATCCCGCCTTTGCCGGCCAGCCCGGCGTGCTTACCTTCTTCTCCGGCGATGCTTACAACCCGAGTCTGGAGAGTTCGGTCACGAAGGGCAAGCATATGGTGCCATTTCTGAATAAGATTGGGACGGATGTTGCTTGTGTTGGGGTATGTTTCACTTTCCTGGTTGATGTTTTCAAGGTGGGCTGGGCAAGCTTGGATAGTGGTGGAATACGAGAGCTCAGTCAGGCCATTCGGTGCGGAATACGAGATAAGCTGACCAACTCACCTGCCGGGTTTAGAACCACGATCTCGATTTCG